TAACTACTATGAAGGGATAGAATGACTCTAAAATTGAAAAATAAAAAAGATTTTTAAAAAGGGATTGATAGTATGTTGGTTGAAAAAGGGAAAAAGAAAAATTCAAAAAAAAAAAAAAGAAAGTTAAAAAAAAGAAAGATTAACTTTGAAAGTCTAAAGAATCATGGTAAAAAAAACCATGAATTCCATGTGCAGTATTCCCCTAGCATTGGAGCTCTGCCACTCTCATTGATCGGTAAACTTGGTCTTGGTTGGCTGTTCTCACTGATCTTCTGGGGGAGGAGCCCGTTGCCATGGTTCCCAAATGTCTTTGCTGGAGGCGGAATTGCCCCACCATTGCTGGTCTGGGCTAAGTAATCTGCTCGGGTTTGCTCTCAGGAGCTTTTGTTCCCTGCAAGCTGTCCATACAGCTTTGGAGGCGGAAAGTGAAAATGGCGGCCTCCCAATCTCCGCCCCGGAGGAGCCGAGAACTCGGGGCCCCGCTCCTCAGTGCGCCCCCAGAGAAAATCCGTCAGTCACTCCCGTCTCTCCGGTCTCCGGCCTCACTCCATGCTTACCCGGTCTGGACCGAGGGTTTCTATCTCTGGCACCCGACTCGGTGTGTAGTCTCCAAACCCAGCAGATCCCTGGGGTGCGCTCCCATGTCGCTCCTCCTGGGGGAGGAAGGGGAGTCTCCCCGGATCTGCCGCTTGTTGGGTCCCTGCTGGAGGAGCAGTGGCCCGACTGTGCCGCAGATCATGGTTTATGGCAGTCCTGAGTTGAGAGCCCACTCCGGCTCTGTCTCTGCAGCTGGCTTCCCCTCTCCAATACCTGGTAACTCTGCTGTCCCGCGAGGGTTCCATCCCCCGCTTAGCCACTGGATCGACATCCCTCAGCAGTACCAGCTTCTAAAGATTCCGGTTTTGTGCTTCCCTGCTCTATCACTTGCCAGAAGTGGCCGATGGAGGCCCCCTCCTCCGCCATCTGTCCTCCCGAATATCGCCTCGGATTCACTTCTCCACACGTCCTACCTTCCAGAAAGTGGTTGCTTTTCTGTTCAGAGAGTTGCTGCTATTCTTCGATCTCCTGTTGAGTTTGTAGGTGTTCAGAATGGTTTGATCCCTATCCAGCTGAATTCTTGGGACCGGATGAAATTTAGGTCTCCTACTCCTCCGCCATCTTGCTCCTCCTCTCCTTTACTTTGTTTTTAACAGTGGACATGGCCAATAGGCCATGAGCTTGGACTGAGTGAACTTGAATCTGAACTTGAGGGATGCTCATGGTGGTTCCAGTCATTTTTAGCAGTTGTGATCCCTGCTGTGTACCAGGTCCTCCAGGGGAATCAAAGATGAAGAGGTCACAATTCCTGCTCATGAATGGTGTGACATCTTGCAAAATGAGTAAGATGGAGGTACAAATTAGAGAAGAAGCTAAGGGCTGTAAGAGAGGTACAAAGTGCTTTTGGGGTAGTAAAGTAAGGGAGATACATATGCCAGTTGGGGTCAATCAGGGAAGGTACCATGAAGGTGGTGGCATTATGGACATTATAAATTAGATAATATTTTCAGTAGCAGAAGGGGGACTGTATCACTTCAGAAGTCCCACTCTTGAACTTTACATCCCTACTGCCACCATAATTACAAACCCTTGTTGGAGATAAGCCAGTAGTTAGTTTGGCTATATGGTATATGTTTAGGGATTAGGGGGTTGTTTGGGGAGAAGCGGGAAAGGGACTTGAGGGGTTTACAGTTCTTGGCAGGAGAGTCTGTGCTTTAACATTCAGTGCGGGGGGTGGGGGTATCTGTGAAGATTTGAGCAGAGCTTTGCAGTGATTGCACATGTGCTTCATTAGTTGTAATCTGGAAGCTTGAAGTGATGTGAACTCATTTTCAGTTGCAAGAGAGATTACAGTGGAGAGACTATCACAGTTATCCAGTTAAGATGTAATGAAACCAGGGGCACCTGGGTGGCTCAGTCACTTAAGTGTCCAACTCTTGATTTTGGCTCAGGTCATGATCTCAGGATCCTGTGATCGAGCCCTGTTTCGGGCTCTGCACTGGGCATGGAGCCTGCTTAATAAGAGTCTTTTTCTCCCTCTTTCTCTGCCCCTCCCCTCCCCACTCGCACATGTTCTCTCTCTTTCTCAATCTCTCTTTAAAAAAAAAAAGAGATGTAATGAAACCATAGAATGAGCAAGGTCAAGGGAGTCAGTCAAAGAGTTCTTAGACTTGACACAGAAAGATAATCCATAAAAAGGAAACTTAATAAATTGGGTCCCATCAAAATTCAAAACTTTTGCTCTGTAGAAGATCCTGTTAAGAGGATGAAAAGTCAAACTACAGGAATGGAGAAAACACTTGCAAACCACACATATATAACAAAGGACCAGTATCTAGAATATAGAGGACTCTTGAAGCCCCACAGTTAAAAAAAAAATTGGAAAATGGGTAAAACACATGAATGGAAGAGGATATACAGATGGTAAATAAGCACATGAAAAGTACTCAGCATCATTAGTCATCAGGGAAGTGCAAATTAAACCCACATGAGGTAACACTGCACAACTATAAAAATGTGTATGCAAAAAATAGTTACAACACCAAGTATTGTCAAGGATGTGGAGAAGCTAGATCATTCGTCCATTTCTGATGGGGATGTGAAATGGCAGTCACTCTGGAAAACAATTTGGTAGTGTCTTACAGAATAGTATGTGCAATTACCATCTTTCTAAAAGTTTAGGAAAATGATATTCATATAAAAATGAACAATAGAAAAGTATTGAAGTCAAATGCCATACAGAGAAAAAAGGCAGGAAGGGGTAAAATAACAACCCCACCAATAATGAAAACAGGCTAGAAAGATAAATGCTCCAAAATGTGTCTGTAAGGTTAAATTAAAAAAAAAAAATCAGAGAAATTAAAATTACACAAGACATGCAAGAGTAACATAAAGAAGAATTAAACTCATAAGTGAAATGATAGAATTCAAGATTATACTTAGGAATAAAATAAATAATTAAAAGTAAAATAATTTTAGAAATGAAGATTAAGTTAGAAGCAACAAGAAATACATCAAGTGAAGAAAAGATGGAAAAATATTTAAATGTAAAAGGAAATTTACAAGAGGTAAAAAGGAGTCAAAAGAAAGTTATAAATATCAATAATCAGCAAAGATGATCCAACACATACATGAGAGTTTGGGGAAAAGATAACAGAGCAAAGAAATAAATACAAAAATTATAATTGAGAAAATTTTGCCAACATAAAAAATTTGAAAATACCTATTGAAAGAATAACTTCATACCTGAAAATACTGACCTAGAATGGCTAGTGTAAGACACATTCTGGCAAAAATTACTGACCTTTAAAGAAAGAGAGAAAATCCTTTGGGTATCTGGGCAACATCAATACATTACCAACAAGTGACAGAAAAGTAGATTATCATTAGTCTTTTTGATGGTAATGCTATTCCCTAGAAGAAAGTGGATGAACATACCAGAGATCCACAGAGAAAGAAAATGTGAACCAGAGATTATATATCCAGAAAAACTGACCTTCAAAAATGTAAAAGACAAAGACAACTGTTGGCGTGCAAGAGTTCAGGAAATATTGTTCCCATGACCCTTCCTAAGGAATCTACTGACGAACTTGTTTCCCTGAGCCCTTAAGATTTTACTAGAGAATGACTTTGGACAACCACAGCTGGAGGGGCATCTATACGGAACTGATGGGGAGCACTGAATTGTTGCTGAATGGTGGCTAAAGGGAGACATGGTACTATGTGCTGGATGTCAAATGCCAGAGTGCAGATTTAGTATAACTAGAAAACAACATGTAGAGGAGGGGGATATCATTTGCAAAAAAAAACCACACAAAACCCCCCCAAACCCAAACCAAACCAAACCAACAACCAGACAACCATTTCAGTAATCACAGTCAGTATCATAGTATTGGCCTCCTGAGACTGATGTCTTAAAAGCCACACTTCCATTTTTTTGTCTCTCTCTCAACCTATGGATGCTACCCCATTCTCAACTCTGAAAACTCCTCCAAAGCCCTGTCTTGCATTTCCCACGTACCTTCCCATTCTCTTCATTTCTTTTCTGCTGTTAACACTTGACCCCTTTCAACCTGAATCAATCAATCCATTTTCAGTTTTTACTCACCAAGCAAGAGCCTAGGATCGACTCTTTCAAACACAAAATTCTCCAGAGGAGAGAGAGAAGCCATGATGTATCGTTTATTACTATTTTGTCATATCTCACAGGAAATTGTGTGGTTAATACGATCAGCATGGATTCCTAATTTTAATATTAGATTTTTTGGAGTTTCATAATCCTGTCCTTTTTCCTTTACATTCCTTTTCTCTGGTTAAAGTTGTTAGAAATAATAACTGCACAGTTATCTATATACTTTATTCCACCTATAGAGGTGCTGCTTATACAATCATTGTTTAGCTATTTCTAGAAAACATATTCCTTAGGTAGGCTAACTTCATATTTCTAGATCGGAAAATACTAAAAGTGTCACTTAGCAAAGAGTTGGCATCAATGCCATATTATTAATTGACACAAATGCCATGAGTACTCTTCTTTCCAGGACTTTATATATAAAAATCTATTTTAGAAACTCTGTTCTAGACCATGCCTGCTATCTGATGTTCTTGGTCAACTAGCACTGTAGCTTTCATATGGAAGTTGGACTTTTGCATTTGCAAGGGCTGAAAGAGGGGGTTGCCTATGTGGAGCAGAAGAGAAATATTGCTTAATAGAGCCAAGAGCAATTCTCTTGATCTTATCCTGTGGCATTTTCCATGTTTACCCATAAAATGGATAGAACATGGATTTCTTTGTGTGTCTCTGGGAGTCTTGTCAGATGAGGCTAGGTGGAAGATAAAACAGGCATCTGGATCACCACCATCATGATTTTCTTTGAGAAGCTTCTGGGAGAGCAAGTGGCTTTTTCTCAGGGAGGGAACACCAAGGCTCTGGGCTTTTCTAAAGCTGCCTAAATTTTGTGCACATGGACTTAACGCTACTTGTGACTTTGCTGCTACCAGCAGATCAGGCCTTGCCCTTTGACGAAGTAAGCAAAGATGTCCCCGATGAAAGCAAAGTTCAAAAGCAAAATGACAGTAAGTATACAGAAGCACCCAGCCTTCTGTACGACTGAAAAGATTAAAGGAGGTGTTTGTAAAGAGTCAGAATGTTCTGCAAATGTACTTCTTATTAATGGTAATAAAACTTGATAGGGAGACATAGCCCCTGAACCTTAGTACAGTGTATGTTGGATATGATCTCCACGTCACCCCTACTTGTCATCAGTGTGATTGTACTTCATGATCTTGGATTATTTATATGTGTTCCCAGCAGTTCTTCATTATATTCCTTAATTTTTCTGATACAGATTCTTTAAATTTAAAAAGACACATTTCTCAGTTGATAAAATACTTTACTATAAGATAGCTGCACTTTAATACTGCTCACATTAGTTAACAGAAGCCAACTATGTTTGTTTTATGAACTAACATGGTCTAAGATAGGAAAGGAAATGAGTACAAGTTGTAAGATTAGCAAACAGAAAACGTGAGAAAAGCTTCATTTCTATGAATGATCTTAAAAATGAGAATTGAGATAATACTTGGATACATTTACTCCTAAATCAATATTTTTGAATGAATAAACTACCAGTTAATATCTAATACATGAGAGAATTAAAAGAATGAGATTGTGGTAAAATACACTAGTGATGATGGTAGAGTGTCTTTTATTGGATTGCTTGTATTTTCTTTTTTTTTAATTAACATATAATGTATTATTTGTTTCAGGGGTACAGGTCTGTGATTCATCAGTCTTACCCAATTCACAGCACTCACCAGAGTACATACCCCTCCCTAATGTCCATCACCCAGACACCCCATTCCTCCCACCCCTCTCCACTCCAGCAACTCTCAGTTTGTTTCCTGAGATTAAGAGTCTCTTATGGTTTATATCCCTCTCTGGTTTCATCTTGTTTCATTTTTTCCTCCCTTCCCCTATGATCCTCTGTCTTGTTTCTTAAATTCCTCATATCAGTGAGATCATATGATACTTGTCTTTCTCTCATTGACTTATTTTGCTTAGCATAATACCCTCTAGTTCCATCCACATTGTTGCAAATGGCAAGACTTCAATTTTTTGACAACTGCATAATAATACACACACCCACACACACACACCACATTTTCTTTATCCTTTCATCTGTTGATGGACATCTAGGCTCTTTCCATAGTTTGACTATTGTGAACATTGTTGCTCTAAACATTGGGGTGCAGGTGCCCCTTTGGATCACTACATTTGTATCTTTGGGGTAAATACCCACTTGTACAATTCCTGGGTCATAGGGTAGCTCTATTTTCAACTTTTTGAGGGACCTCCATACTGTTTTCCAGAGTGGCTGCACCAGCTTGCATATCCACCAACAGTGTAGGAGAGTTCCCCTTTCTACGTATCTTCGCCAACATCTGTCATTTCCTGACTTGTTAATTTTAGCCATTCTGACTGGTGTGAGGTGGTATCTCATTGAAGTTTTGATTTGTATTTCCCTGATGCTGAGCGATGTGGAGCACTTTTTCATGTGTCTGTTGGCCATTTGGATGTCTTCTTTGCAGAAATGTCTGATAATGTCTTCTGCTCATTTCTTGATTAGATTATTTGTTCTTTGGGTGTTGTGTCTGTTTTTGTGCCAGTACCATACTGTCTTGATGATGACAGCTTTGTAATAGAGCTTGAAGTCTGGAATTGTGATGCCACCAGCTTTGTTTTTCTTTTTCAACATTCCTCTGGCTATTTGGTGTCTTTTCTGTTTCCATACAAATTTTAGGATTATTTGTTCCATTTCTTTGAAAAAACTTAATAGTATTTTTTTTTTTAAAGATTTTATTCATTCATTTGAGAGAGAGAATGAGAGAGAGCACAAGAGGGGGGAGCGGGAGAGGGAGAAGCAGACTCCCCGCTGAGCTGGGAGCCCGATATGGGACTCGATCCCAGGACTCCAGGATCATGACCCGAGCCGAAGGCAGTCGCCCAACCAACTGAGCCACCCAGGCGCCCTTAATGGTATTTTGATAGGGATTGCATTAAATGTGTAGATTGCTCTAGGTAGCATAGACATTTTCACAATATTTGTTCTTCCAATCCATGAGCATGGAACGTTTTTCCATTTCTTTGTGTCTTCCTCAATTTCTTCTTGAGTATTTTATAGTTTTCTGAGTACAGATCCTTTGCCTCTTTGGTTAGATTTATTCCTAGGTATCTTATGGTTTTGGGTGCAGTTGTTAATGGGATCGACTCCTTAATTTCTCTTTCTTCTGTCTTATTGTTGGTGTATAGAAATGCAACTGATTTCTGTGCATTGATTTTATATCCTGCCACTTTACTGAATTCCTGTATGAATTCTGGCAGTTTTGGGGTGGAGTCTTTTGGGTTTTTCACATAAAGTATCATATCATCTGCAAAAAGTGAGAGTTTCGCTTCTTCTTTACCAATTTGGATGCCTTTAATTTCTTTCTGTTGTCTGACTGCTGTGGCTAGTACTTCTAGGACTATTTTGAATAGCAGTGGTGATAGTGGACATCCCTGCTGTGTTCTTGACCTTAGGGGAAAAGCTCTCAGTTTTCCCCCATTGAGAATGATATTCCCTGTGCATTTTTCATAGATGGATTTTATGATATTGAGGTGTGTACCCTCTATCCGTACACTGTGAAGAGTTTTAATCAAGAAAGGATGCTGTACTTTGTCAAATGCTTTTTTTTGCATCTGTTGAGAGGATCATATGGTTCTTGTTCTTTTATTAATGTAGTGTATCACATTGATTGACTTGTGGGTGTTGAACCAACCTTGCAGCCCAGGAATAAATCCCACTTGGTCATGATGAATAATCTTTTTAATGTACTGTTGGATCCTACTGGCTAGTATTTTGGTGAGAATTTTTGCATCCTTGTTCATCAGAGATATGGGTCTGTAATTCTGCTTTTTGATGGGGTCTTTGTCTGGTTTTGGGATCAGGGTATAATGCTGGTCTCATAAAATGAGTTCCATTTCTATTCTTTGGAACAGCTTCAGAAGAATAGGTATTAATTCTTCCTTAAATGTTTGGTAGAATTCCCCTGAGAAGCCATCTGGCCCTGGGCTCTTGTTTGTTGGGAGATATTTGATAACTGCTTCAACTTCCTTACTGGTTATGGGTCTGTTCAGGTTTTCTATTTCTTCCTGGTTCAGTTTTGGTAGTTTATACCTCTCTAGGGATGCATCCATTTCTTCCAGATTATCTAATTTGCTGGCATCTAGTTGCTCATAATATGCTCTTATAATTGTTTGTATTTCTTTGGTGTTGGTTGTGATCTCTCCTCTTTCATTCATGATTTTATTTATTTGGGTCCTTTCTCTTTGTTTTTGATAAGTCTGGCCAGGGTTTTATCAATTTATTAATTCTTTCAAAGAACTAGCTCCTAGTTTTGTTGATCTGTTCTTCTGTTCTTTTGGTTTCTATTTCATTGGTTTCTGCTCTGATCTTTATTACTTCTCTTCTCCTGCTGGGTTTAGGCTTTATTTGCTGTTCTTTCTCCAGCTCCTTTAGGTGTAGGGTTAGGTTGTGTATTTGAGGTCTTTCTTGTTTTTTGAGAAAGGCTTTATTGCTAAATACTTTCCTCTTAGGACTGCCTTTTCTGCATCCCGAAGATTTTGAACAGTTGTGTTGTCATTTTCATTTGTTGCCATGCATTTTTTAAAGTCTTCTTTAATATTCTGGTTGACACATTCATTCTTTAGTAGAATGCTCTTTAGCCTCCATGTATTTGAGTTCTTTCCGACTTTCCTCTTGTGATTGAGTTCTAGTTTCAAAGCATTGTGGTCT